TATATATATATATATATATATATATATATATATATATTTATATTAGGTATAGTATGTATTTACGATAGTACGTCGTCACGTGCACGCGCTCTCGCACCTAAAATGGCGTAGTAATTAACCTAATGAGAAACGTCGTGGGTTAGTATAGATTTTCTATCGGTTGTCGTTTTCTATGCGCTTCGTCGAAAATTTGAACCGTATATTTTGAAAACGGCCTACGTCCAGTGTATAATATTTTCTTCTTTTTATTGTTGTTGATCGTAATAACATCTACAATTGGAAATTAACTGTCGTGCAAAACATTTCGCAGAGAAAGAAAAAAAATAAAAAATGAACTTCACCGTAGAAAATAAACGGTTGATTTTTTTCTTTCTTCTTTGACATTATTTTTTTTATTTTCATTTAAACAATTTTGTTTCTTTTCAATTATTTTTCGTTTCATCCAATCGTTACAATTTTTCGTCGTTCGTTACAACGATACCTATTTCTCGTCGAATTTACTTCCTTTTTCAGAAAAAGGGAGGGAGAGAGAGAGAGAGAAGTAATGAAAAATTAGGAAACATCGGTTTGGCAAAAATTCAATCCTCGTTTTAAGAGAGGACAGTAGCGTAAAAGCGCATACCGAGCAGTCATTTCGTTGTCATTGAAGAATTCTATTCTTTATACTTTGAAAAGAATCGTACTTTATAAACTCCTTCGGTACTGTTTACGATATAGGAATGAAAAATATATTTGAAAAGAATCGTTTCTCGACTATCTTCAGACGAATCGTTTCTTTTCATAAACATTTTTTTCCGGTACTCTTTATTTTTTCTTCTCTCTCTTTCTCTCTTTCTCTCTTTCTCTTTTGTTTGTGCTCTTTCTCGCACGATCAAGACCATGCGCTTGACGTTCCGACTAGATAGAAAATTCAATTGTGAATATTCAACGTCAAGAAGCAGACCACTACCAGCAGTAGCAGCAGCAGTAGCAGCAGCAGCAGCATGGTTACTTCGACGGAATGAAAAAGTAGGGTAGAAACAAACGGCAAGGGGTAAACGGTGAGGGTGGGTGGTTGAAAGGCACCAGAGAGAAATGTATGGTATTAATTACCATTGATAAAAAACACAAACGCGCTCGGCAACATGGCGATTTGGCACGATTCTCTCTTCTCGCCATTACTCGAACGGTTTGATAAAAAGCGTACATGAGCTGACTGCATAAATCATTATCAATCTTCTTCGGTTATAATCTTCCTTCTTTCTCTTTTTTTTTTTACTATCGCGGCGATACGTCTTAAGTAAATTATTTAGAAATAAGAACAATCGGTTAATATTGTTTTGTTTTGTTTTATTTTATTTTTCTACGAAATGTTAATAAGTAAATGTATCGGTATCGTTACTTGAAAAATAGTGTGGCAAGTGCACGTGTTATTATATACATAAGTGTGTGTGTGCTCGCGTGTATATGTCTGTGTATATGTAATACATAGGTTGAGGGTGATTAGGTGGGTATTACGAATACAAAACTGGCATGCAGCGTTGCATATAAAGTGCAACGTGGAAAGAGTGCTATATTTCTTACGTGTTGCGATCCACACTTGCCGTTGCACCTGTTGCTGTCGTGACCAATCAGCGTCGAAAGAATGCTTTCAACTTCGTAAAAGTTAATTAAATTCTCGCTTTTGTTTTTTTCCCTTGCACCCATCCCCCTCCCCCGTCTCGTCCCCCATCCCTTCCCTCTCCACCCCCCATTAAGTCGAGTACGAGTTGATTTATTAGATATCCATTTGGCACGTTACATAGTTATGATAATACGGGAAGAAAGTGATATTCTACGACGATGCAGCGAACGATGTAACGTTAAATGTCCTTAGTGTTTAGCATTTATCGAATCGAAACATTAAACGGTCGTTCGAGTTAAGTATACGTGTGTGTATGTGGATTCTCGAAACAATGTATGCCAAGTTATGCGTTGAGGCCACTGCGGATACTGAAAAACTTCGGCGACATGCCAGTCCCGAGCGTTTTCTAGCGTTGTGCATCATCAATGCGGCTAAACAAACTTTCCGTCGCTGTTAGAGAGTCCATTTGTCGTCGTTCGAGAAAACGCTTACCGCTCGACTGAATTTTATGAGTTTGACGAACGATAGCAGTCAAGCTATTTCTTATATCCGAGGTTACGTTCCACATAAACGTCTTTTTCTTTTTTTTTAACGCGTTTCTTTATACTTCAAGAACATATAGAGGAATTATATTTATATATATATGAATAAAATAGTGTAATCAAAGTTTTGTTTTCTTTTTCTTATATATACGAATTTATACATTATTTGATTAGTTCGTCGAATAAAGTAGATGAAAGGATTGAAAAATGAAAAGGGAAGAACATAGGTGTACGTAAATGGAGTAGGTATGTGTCGTATGAAGATTCTTGTCGCGAGTTATTACATTACCGAGTACCTTGATTATTCTCTCACACATTTACTTTTGCCTGCGAAGCAAAAGCAACGCACAAAAGACCTTCGTAGAGAAAAGTCTCGGTTAATGCAATTAATTAGCCTCGTGCCACATAATACGACTTTGTCGGCCATTAACGAGCTCTTTCGCGAAATATATATATATATATATATATATATTATAGTTAACCGTGATAGAAACATCGGTATATAACTCGAATATATCGATATCAAGATAGTTCACGGGATGATGATATGTATCGTTTTATCGATAAACACAATTACGTTAGAGAGACCGTTTATACGTATTTTATCTAGATAACATTTGTTGGATATTGTAAAAAGAGTAACACGAATATACTTTCTCGAATAATATCGATAACCACTGTATGGATGAGTATAATGATAAGAGAGGGTAGAAAAGCATGCATTAATATGGTAATAGGAGAGTTAATAAATTAACGATTACGATATTTTGTTTTATCAGGTTGGCAGCAGCGCAAGAGGCGGCACAAAGGGATCCTGGATACGCGAGTCAGTACAGGAGAAGGCAGAGGTTGGCCGGACTGACTGGTCGCGGTGACTGGACTAGCTTTGGAGGGGAGGTAAGAGGCAAGTGTCTCCGACCAAGATGAAGAAATAGAAATAGAAAGGTGGGTGAATTTGTTTGGCAGGTAATTGGTCCGGTGGATATGGCGCCAGGCCGGGATCAGGGCGGAGGGGCGGGTGGAAGCGGGGGAGCCCAGCCCAAATCTAAGGGCACGACCTCGCTGTTCATCCTTTCGGAGGATAATTGTATAAGGAAGCACACCCGCTTCATCATCGAGTGGCCGCCCTTCGAGTACGCCGTCCTGTTAACCATCATCGCCAATTGCGTGGTCCTCGCCCTCGAGGAACACTTGCCCAAACAAGACAAGACCATACTCGCACAGAAACTCGAGGCCACGGAGATCTATTTCCTCGGGATTTTCTGCGTCGAGGCGAGCCTCAAGATCCTCGCCCTTGGCTTTGTCCTCCACCGCGGCTCCTACCTTAGAAACATCTGGAACATCATGGACTTCTTCGTCGTGGTGACCGGGTGAGGAGATCGTCTATCTTCAACTGCAACACACATATATATATATATATTATTTTATTATTATTCTTTTTATATATATTTTTTTTTCTTTCCTTACTTTTCCTTAATCGTTATATTATTGATATATTATCATCGTTTCACGTTATCCAATCATTATTTTTTCATTCATTCTATTTATTTCTCTCTACCCATACATATACATATATATATATTTGTATATTACTCTGTCTATCTGTCTCTCTCTCTCTCTTTCTGTCTTTCTCTCTCTCTTTCTCTCTCTCTCTCTCTCTCTCTTTCTTTCTCTTTCTCTTTTTCTCTCTCTCTCTCTCTCTCTCTATTTTTCTTCTCATCTCTTCGTCCAAAACAATTATTCATTATCTCTCTCTTTTTTATTTTGAAATCGCATTTATTTACATTATATTTGAAGAAATGATGAAAACTCATGATACTTTGAGTTAGGCGGACACTACGAGAAGAGAAGACGATAGAGAGGAATATGCACTTTACCGTGGTCATTTATAATCGCGATAAGAGGCTGTTTCCTATACAGATATTTCTATATTCTATATACGTTGACTTTACACGTAACAACCTTTTTAACGTTAGGATATCTGATCCCGAGGAAAGAAGTTTCAAAGCTAAAGTTTCAGAAAGATGTTACCTATATATATATATATATATATATATATATATATATATATAGATGGAAAGTTTCGTTATTTGAAGAAACTTCTTTCCTCGTACAGCTCCAAGCCGATACGGTTTGTCCGATTGGACAGATAGATTCTAGAGTGATCCTTGGATTAGGTCGATGACCGTGTTCGCCGAAACTAACGTGGACGTCGACCTGCGTATGCTACGTTCCTTCAGGGTCCTCAGACCGCTAAAGCTGGTTTCGAAAATTCCAAGTGAGTCAGTCACAATTCTGTGAAAAAGCAGATATAACAAAGCAAAACAGTACAAGAATACAGTGAAAGCAGCAGATTATTATTATATACTAACCCCCCACCCTTTGTTCATGGCATTTGCGTTTGTGTACGTTTCATAGTCTCTGATTAGCTTTTAATATTTTATATTTAACGTTCCCTATTATTATTATTATTATTATTATTATTATTATTATTATTATTTTTATTATTATCATTTTTATTATTATTATTATTACAATTATTATAATTATACTTATACGATAGTTTCTAACCTATATTCTACATACATACATACATATATATATATTAACTACATAATACATATACAATATATATATATTATGATTATGTCTCTCAGTTTTATTGCTTATCTTTGAATTACTGATTCGACGTTTTCTGATAGGTGCAAGCAGAAGATATCTAACGCAAGCTAAATTAATACTTCTAAACATTTGATTTGTGCTTTAGTTAATTCCCCTTGGTTCCCGTTTGCGTAATTACACGTCTCTCTGTTTTACTAATTACTATTTAGCGGCTATGGGTGTCTTAGAACAGTTGATCACAGCTATAGATAAAAGTTGGTCGAAGATACTTAGGTATATATTAAATAATGTAATAGGTATTTTTTGTCGAATCTGTGTCAAAGTGTATTTTTCAGTAATCAAGTCTGTATATACACATACATACGTATTAGGATACTAATGAATTATTAGATATTAGAAATACTCTATCAGTTATTTGCTATATACTCTATATCATTTATTTTTATATCTACTCGCATTTCCTTCTATCTCTCTCTCTATCTCTCTCTCTCTCTCTTTCTTTCTTTCTATCTCTCTCTCTCTCTCTCTCTTTCTATCTCTCTCTCTCTCTCTCTCTCTCTTTATTTCTATCTATCTATTATTATTCATCGCACTAAAAAAACACAAAAATACACAAGGACAACAACGAACGCTAACTCACGCACATGATATATCAAAAACATTAACGATATATTGAAGGATGCTAAAACACTCTTTCGTATTTTCTAGGACCTTTCACTTTTTGTGATATCTCGTTTATTTTTACCGTTCTTCTTGATTTTTTTCCATTTAGTAATTTTGTTTTACATTTAATGTGCAATAGATTGAAATTTATTGATTTATTTGGACTGATGGTTTGCGTCTGGGCTGCGTCTTTATTCAGGACTGACGTCATAATTGTGTATCGTTGATGGAATATTTTTAGAGAACGATGATAGAGTTCACACAGAGTGTCTTTTATTATTCTTTCTACTTTCATTTTTTGTGATTGAATTATTTTCTCTTTTCATACATCTTTTCTTTTCTCTTTTTTTTTTTTCTTTTTCTATATTCGTTTTCTTACTTGTCTCATTAAATATATACGTATTTATTATACATAGGGTAGAGAACATAGTGACTGAGATCTTATATTTGCTAGAGATTGATGATATGATATGATGATTATGATGATGATTATGATGATGATGATGATGATGCTACTTTTAATGTGTTAACACGTAATTATATTGTAACGCACACGTAGATAATATTATCGCACGGGGTCAAACGTGGGCGATTATTTTTCATGGTAAATATTTCTCTATGGTAGTGCGTGTGAATTTAAGCGTTGTGTCCTTTTATTTCGTTCTTCTCTTTTTTTTTCTTCTTTCTTTTTCTTTATTAGAAAACAAAATGAAAACAAATATACAATTATTTCAATTCACGATCGTATGATAGATCGGTCGGCGGATTGTTGTTGTGTTGTTATTATTACTATTAATTATTATTAAAACACATATTCACACATACATACACTCAACACACACACACACACACACAGAGTAAAATCTGGGTAATAAGTTTTACGTGTGAATATTGTAATAATAAATAATAGTATTTTGACGAAAGCATAAAAGAAAGTATAAAAAAAATATTTTTCGAGTAAACGGCCATTATTACGCACGGGAAAATACACACACACATACATAGATACATACATACATAGAAATAGATACATTGGCCCGAAGTCGCGTTTATATTTAGCAGTCTCTATCCTTAGCCAAAGCTATTGAATAATAGAGTTGACTATACATTGGTAAATAGGTACGTGTTCTAGAGCCGTAACGTGTTCGAGTTTGCTAGAGAGTGGTGATGAACAACTTTAGAGACACAAGAGCTCAAGAGTTGCGGATATTTTTCAGGGGATCCATCTTGATAAATAATCATAAAGAAAAAAAAAAATAATATTAATAATAACAATAATAATAATAATAATAATAATTAAAATAATACGAATAATAATACGAATAATAATAATAATAATAATAATAACAATAATAATATTTATAATAATTACAATAATAATAATGTTTATAAAAGAAAAAAAAACACGACATACCATTCGCCTTAACTTATTTGTTATATTCTAATGAATAATTTTATATTCAATTAACATAGAATCCAGCGTAGTATTTGTTCACAAATTTTAGTCCTTTGGAAATGAATCTTTAGATAGATACGAGCGAGCGAGCGAACGAGCGAAAGAACGAACGAACGAACGAAAGAACGGAAGAACGGAAGAAAGAAAGAAAGAAAGAAAGAAAGAAAGTAAGAACGAACGAACGAACGAACGTACGAAAGATTATTTATAAATATTCCCAAATTATTTAAAATAATGTATATATCGTAATAATTGAGCAACGTAGTGATAGGTATTGGTATTTGATACCGTAGAAAAAAGAACAAGGAAAAAAAAAATAAATAAATAAATAAAAAGGAGAAAAAAAATTGCTTAGAAGAAAAATAATTTTCTAGAATAAAATGATTCTAGAGAAAAAAAATGTCTAGAAAATCTATCGACAAGGGGGAAGAAAACGAAGAAGATGAAGGAGGAAAAAAAATAAAAAAGAAGAAATGGAAATGGAAGAAAAAGAAGAAAAAGAAGAAAAAGAAGAAGAAGAAGAAGAAGAAGAGAGTGCAAAGCTCTCGGAGTTTGGTTCTCCGTGTAGGTTAATGCATCATCGCTAGTACCTTCACGTAGAAACTATATATATATCAATATATACATATATATATATATATAGTTATATATCAATATATATATATATATGTATATATATATATATATATAGAATTGGACGTATCGTGCGAATTTGCGATTCATATTCGGATTCATCCCTCTAGATGGATCGCTATCGTTCACTTTTCTCGCGATCGGCGTCCCAAACACCCGAAACGTTTTCTCTTTCTCGCATATACAATGAAAATAATAATAATGAAAAACGAATTGTTTAGTTGGGTTGAAAAAAAAAATTAAATAAGAATAAAAGAAAAAATGTATCTGCTTGCAAGTGTGATTTGTTTTTTTTTACTTCTAATTGTAAGTAAATACATTGATAATTAATTTTTGGAGGTTTTTTTTTTTCGTTGATGTATTTCTTTTGAAACGAGAGAAAAACGCGGAGGGTTAGAAAAAAGCGGATCGCGGGAAGGTCGACGACATCGTGATGGACAAAGCCGAGGAGAACAAAAATAAATAAGTGGTTGGGGAGTTTTCATAAGAGATAATCATTTGGATATATATATAGTAGGTATTATGATGCATATCTATCGCTACCTTCGACTTGTCCGATGCGTCTCACCAATACGATTCTCATAGTTTTAGAATTTTATCGTTAGTGTTTTTGAAAAGCTCGTTTAGAGACTAGATAGTTCGTACTTAACCTGAATAACGTAAATGTCCTTTAAAAAAGAGAAAAAAAAATAGAAAAAAAAATAGAAAAAAAAAGAAAATAATGATCGATCCACGATTATTATTATTATTACTTTCCCTCGCAAAGTCCACTTTAGGTGTAAAACCCGAATAAATGTTCCCTAGAGAGAAAAAAGAAAAAAAAGAATAATCTTAACCCTCATATATTAATCTCCCTTTTTTAAATCTAATTCTATCTCATTTGTTAATCGTTATAGACCCATCTTGTGTATAATTGTTTTTAGTGTTTCCTCCTACGATAATGATATTCTACCCCCCACCCCCTCAGCCAACCAGCGTCGTTGTTGCATAGTTCATCAATTTCCTCCTGCCATTTTTGTAAACCTTATCACATATTTTTCTCTAATTCACGCTATTTCACCACTCTTTCTCTCTCGCTCTCCCACTCTCTATTTCTTTCTATTTTCTTACCCTCCTCCTCCTCCTCCTCCTGCTCCTCTTCCTTCTCACGTTTAATCGTAATACCGTAGATACTTTTCGATTCCATCGTGCTTTCATTAACAACTTTCCGTCAGAGTTATCTCAAGGCAGCCACCCCGTTCACGAAGGACTTAATCTTAAGATGCGCTAATTCGATAAAGTCGAAGCAGCTTAGAATTGGTGATTCTTCGAAGTCTTCGAACCCGCCACATCCTTCCTTCAATTCTATATCTATCTATCTATCTATCTATCTATATATTTCTATCTCTTTCTATCTATGTGTGTATTACTTGCGCGTATTGTATATCGAACTTTGAAATCTCTTTATTCTTCTTTCTCATTCTTTTCTGTCTTTTTCTATCTGTCTTAATATGTCCCACCCCTCTCCACTCAATCTCTCTCTCTCTCTCTCTTTCTCTTTCTCTCTCTTTCTCTCTCGATGTCTTTCTTTTATTCTCGTGAAAATTGCATATATTATCTACTTCCTATATAAAAGAATAAGAATAATAAGAAGAATAATAATAAAACGACGAGTTTGCATATTGAAATGAAATCAAAATCGAGTTCAAATCTAATCGAATCTAATCGCTTTAATCCTTTTCTCTCTCTTTTTTTTTTTTGTTCCATTGAACCATTTTGTTCGTTACCAAAATTGATCGTCGTACGCGAATAGGAATAAAAAAAAAAAGAAGATATATATATATACATATTACCGTGATGTTAATTTTCCCTTTGAAATAATATCTAGATAATATTTTAAATAGAAATATTTTCTTCAAAATGAGAAGGACTAGGATTAGAAATCGCTAGTTTATCTATCTCACATTCTTTTACTTTCTCTCTCACTCTCTCTCTCTCTCTCTCTCTCACTCTCTATTTCTTTATATCTCTGTCTATCTCTCTCACCTATATTAGTGACGTAGCCTAAGTACTTAAGTAGCCTGAGTATTAGTGTAATAGAGTAGTAAGTAGTAAAGTGTGGCGGGGTGTGTGTGTTTTGGGGCAGGTTCATCACGGCGTTCTCGCAGGGCATAGAACTGGATATGGATCTGCGCACGTTGCGTGCGATACGCGTGTTGCGACCGCTCAAACTTGTCTCCGGCATACCGAGTGAGTAGCGCTTAAAAAAAAAAACAAAAAAAAAAAGATAAGAAAGAAACTGGCCGAGAAATATAATAAACGAACAGAGAAACAAAAAATAATAACAAAACCAAAAAAGAAAAAAAAATTATTACGAGACTATACGAGAGGTCTCTTATTTTTACTCATTCCTCCCCTTTATCTCCCCCTATCTTTCGACGCAAAGCTTTTTTTGTTCAACGAAAGATGGGGCGGCAACTAACGGATTAACGATATTAACTGATAATATAACAAATAATAATAATTAAACTATTTAAATAATATCTTATTAAAAATAAATCATACCTAATATTATAATACACTAAACTAATAATATTAATAATTGTAATAATAATCATAATAATAATAATAATGATGGTGGTGGTGGCGATTGATGATGATAATAATGAGGATTATGATGATGGTGATGATTGATGATGATGATTAAGGATGATGATAATGAGGACGATGACAATGATGATCATGATGATGATGATGATGAAGAAGATTATGATAATGTTAATGACGAAGATAACGATGAAGAAAATGATGGTGATGATGATGAATATAATGATGAATATAATGATGAATATGATGATGATGATGATGATGAAGATGAAAATGCGTCAAATGACCGCTGTTCGAGAACTCGCTCGTATGAAAATTTTCCTGCGCCTAAGATTCGGATATCTCACGTTTAATACGCATTATTATTATAATTCGTCCACGTTGGACTACGTTTATCGCATATATATCTGTGGTATACATGTATATGTATTTATTAATATACATATACATGTATATTTTATATATTGTAAACCTATTTTATATTAAATATCGAATAGTTTTTAGATTTGATTAAAGTGCGAATCGACGGGCATTCACTCTGTCGGATATAAATATAATTATATTATATTCTATATAAATTCGTAGATATATGAGCGTAGTATTCTTGATTGCAACGTTAATACCAACACACGTACACGTAGATGGCATTGCAAGGACTTAGCGAATTTTTTTTCTTTTTCCTTTAGGTTACGTTCGTAGTATTTTTGATACCCATTTAGATGCTCTTTGAGGGCTGTATGTTGTGTTTAGATATATCGTTGAGGTACCTTAATCGTTAGCGCGCAGGAACATTTTGTGCGAGAACGGTGAGAAGTTTCTATCTGTATATGTTATTGAATTAACGATATAAAGTCATTCTTATCAAAATTTTTCTATAACTTTTTTTTTTCATTATTTTCTATTATCATTAATTTTCCTCTCGTACATATATTTATATATTACATAAATAAATAAATAAATAAATATATATATGGTTTTTCATAGATATTTTGCACGCGTACAAGTTCGGACAATAAGAAAAGAAAAAATCAAAGATATTAAAAATCTTTCTCGAGCAGCGGGAAAAAAAAATATGACGCGCGCCGAGAGAGTGCGGTTTTAAAAATAAGAAGCGTCGTTACGACACAGTGGCCAAAAAAAATAGAAAAAAAGAATAGAAAAATAAAATGAGAAAATGAAAAGAAAAAAAAAGAAAAAAAAAGAAAAGAAACTAGAAGGAAAAAATATAAAAGAAAAAAAAAAAAGAAAAGTTTTAGTCGTGTGTTAGTCGTGATGCCGAGTGGGGACGATTTTTCGGGCTAATTACTCCTCGCCGTTCTCTCTTCTCTTCCGTACAGGTCTTCAGGTGGTGTTGAAGTCCATCATAAAAGCAATGGCGCCGCTTCTGCAGATCGGATTACTGGTTCTTTTCGCGATCGTGATATTCGCCATCATCGGTCTTGAGTTTTATTCGGGAACACTGCATAAAACGTGTTACAGTATAAAGGACATCAGTGAGTATATTTTTTGTCGGGTCATTTAAAACCCCGACACGGGGTCGGCTGAATTATTTTCAAAAAAGATAAATATATGTTTTTTTATATATTCTTAGCAATGCTAATCAAACAAAATATTTTTTGTTTTTTTTTTCTCTCTCTCTCTCTTTCTCTCTCCTACCATTTTATTTCTCTCTCTCTCTCTCTCTCTCTCTCTGTCACTTTGTTCGTTCGTTTTTTTTTTGGTGTTTTTTGTTTGTTCTGTCACGTAGGTGTGATCGTGAAGGAAGGTGAGACTCCGGACCCGTGTAACACGGACGTTCAATCGGAGGCACCGTTCGGTGCCCACGTGTGCAACGCGAGCACCTCAACGTGTTTGGATCATTGGGTGGGACCAAACTACGGCATCACCAGTTTCGACAACATCGGATTCGCTATGCTCACTGTCTTCCAGTGCATCACTATGGAGGGCTGGACTTCCATATTGTACTGGGTAAAGCAAGAGATATGTTCATCAGTGTTAAATATTTCTCTATCTATCTATCTATCTTTTTATATGCATATATATATTTATTTTTTTCTATGTATCTCTGTCTATTTCTGTATCTTTATTTCTTTTTTTTTTTTTATGTGTCTCAATATTATTCAATTTTTATAAATTAACCTCGTATACACGCATATAACATACATTTAATTGCGTACATGACGTGTTTTATCTATTTGAATGTGGTCCATTCGATATTTTTTATTATATACGTGCCTAATTTATATGAATTTTGTCAAGCTTATCCCACTGGCTAGAGATGAGTCGTAATCTTTTCTTTTTTTTTTTTTCCTTTTTCTTTCCTTTCAAAACGATCGAATCTTCGTTCGATGATCGGGATTCATTTGTTTGGATCGATTACAAAAAAAAGTTAGAATAGATAATAGATTGGAATGTAGAAAGTTATTAGTCGAACTTAAGATTCAATCGTTTTTGAGTATTTGATTTATTTTTTATTGTTTTTTGTTTTTTCTTTTAATTTTGTATGCATCCCCCGTGTCGTTATTACGTGTTACACGAACGTCTGAGTGTTCCCCTTTCCCTCCCCCCCCCTTTTTTTTTTCTTATAACCTGCTATTGATAATCGTTACATTTGTTTTTTATTTGATTTGGTTCGATGTCGTTGATGTTATTTTTTTGTTCTTTGTACCCCTACATTATTATTTTCTTTTTTTCAATCTTTTATTTCTTCGTTGTCGATTTACGATAATGATGAATAAGAAGAAGAAGGAAAATAAAAAAAGAAAACCTAGCCGTTGGTCGAGCTTCGAGTTCGTAATAAATATGCTTGCAGAGATGATAATCAGCTAACACTGACGTATATGTTCACCTTGCTCAGTATAACACTGTCAGTTTCAGCCCTCTTTTGCTATAACACCTTAATGTTTTAATATAATATATATTAATATATTCATATATTTGTGTGTGTATATATATAACTCGATCGTATCGATCGGTCGTATCGATCCATAACAAAATCTTAAAAATTGACGTTTATAGATTTTTTACGTTTATAATTTTGAATGCATATACACTCAAACACTTTCCTATAACACGGTTTCGATATAACTTCCGCTTAATAAATTTACAATTAGACAAACCTTTGATGATTCAATTATACCGTTTCGTTTCGTTTACAATTAAACGCGAATTCAATCCAACGTGAAACAAATTAACCGTGTTATGGGAAATTTGAATGGTATATATGTATATATGCAGAGAAAATAATATTTCTTTGACAAACAAATTGTTCGATTAGCTTATTACAAATTCTAAATGTTATTTGATTCCAAATTTTGATTGCCTCGATTTTAACGAAACGTAAAAGGTTTGAAATGATTCCATGTATTTTGTTGTTTTTGCTGTTATTTTTTCAAAGGACAATTCGGATATTAAAATCCGAGTCAATGTGCTAACAAAAAAACGGAACGGAAAGTAAAAGAAAAGAAAAAAAAACAAGATCTCCGTATGTCTAAATGTCTTTATGTCGCATAATGTTCTTTTGTCATTGATTGATATGCGTACAGCTGTGTATCTGGTGCACCATGCTCGCACATGTAATACCGGCTTCACGTGGCTCTGGTCAAATTTGCAGACAAACGACGCTCTTGGAAGCACGTACAACTGGATTTACTTTATACCATTGATCGTCCTTGGCTCCTTCTTCATGCTGAACTTAGTTCTCGGTGTCCTGAGCGGGTAAGTATCGTCCAAAAATTCGTCCAAAAAATTCGTCCTAAAAATTTCATCAAAAATTATACCCATTAATAAATTACCGATCGAATTATTTAATTCAAATAATACACGAGAATAAATTCGTCGAATAATTTTACGCGCTTGTTTCATTTGTATAAAAGAAAAACAACATTTTGTTTATTTTAATTTCTAACCGAGTTCACCCACGATCGAGGATTAAAAATAACCAAAAAAGACAAAAAATGAATACTCTCGAACGATGAACCGATGGATAAAAGTAAAATCAAATTTCTTATCTTTTCTCGTCAGGGAGTTTTCTAACGAAAGAACGCGGGTTGAGAGGCGAGCGGCTTATCAGAAAGCAAAGCGAAAACGTCTCTTCACTACCGCATTCAGTTCCTACTTAAAATGGATCACTCAAGCAGGTTTCAACACTAACGGATCTGTTACTTGTCTTTAGCTTTCGATACATATTGTATACATTGAGTAATATATATATATATATGTATATATATATCGCTTTTAATTAGATATATCGAGGTGTCGCGTGAACAAAGAGCTCAAGTTCGGAGTAAGCTAGAGAGTAAAGGCTAATCGGTTTATATCACCCCTCGGATCCGATTTCCTATCATTGATTCGAGTATGCGTATGAGCAAAACATATATTACACACGCTAATTAACCTATGTAGATTATCCAAATTACGTAATTTTTTTTGGTTAATCGAACGTTTATTCGCCCGATACAAAAACGTCGTTGTATAGTTGTTCTACTTTAACGTATCTTACCCCCTGCCCCCTTCGACCCCCTTTTTACATGTTCCCACGGTAATCAAAAATAATCTCTCTCTCGAGTACACACACGCACACATATTACACACATATTACACACATATTACACACACATATACACAGGACACGCAGAAACATGGCATATATGTATGAACCTTTGCTGCTACGCTTGTAGAGAGTTTGCGAAGGAGAGAGAGAAGGTGGAGAACCGGCAAACCTTCCTGAAATTGCGAAGACAACAGCAGCTCGAGCGCGAACTGAATTGCTACCTCAATTGGATCTGCAAAGCAGGTTAGAGATGCTACACGATTGGTAAACGTCGGACGTGCATTCACTCCGGATTAATCCAATAGCTTTTACACGACTTTTTTTTCTTGTAAATCTATAAATCTAGTTTCCTTTATCTAAGCCAGAAAAGTGTGAACTAGTTTCTTGGTTCTTTTCTTTTTTTGTTTTTTTTTTTACTCACCCAGTATTTAGAGAGACACCCCGCTAGAAAAGAAATAACTACGTATTTATTATACCTATGTTGTTTTATGGTCGTCGTGCAGGTAAACTATAAAAAGAAAACAAAAAAAAAAGAAATATGTCGCGAGTTCCTGCTTCATAATTAAATAGTCGAAAAAGACATTATTGTTCGTTATCGTAAGAAAATTTTCCGAATGACCGTAATAACGACTTGAATTTCAGAAGAGGTAATTCTCGCCGAAGAGAGGACCACGGAAGAGGAAAAGATGCACATATTAGAAGGTTTGCGTTAGATTTTCCTTTTAATGTATCGATAAAGTAATCGTATATGCAAAAGTGTCCGCAGAATTACTTTTTCTCCTTTTCTTTTCTTTTTTCTTTTTTTTTTTTTCTTCTTCCAAGAGGAAGCTATGACATAAAATGTCACTCAGATTGATTGAAATGTATACTTTGATATTTATACACCTTTTAGTATTAAAGCTTTCTCACTAAGCGACGACAAGGTAGATGTAAATTGAGAAGGATTTCTTCTTATTCTTATGCTTTTTTTTTCTTTTTTTAATGTAATTTTTATAAAAATTATTTTTCATTTTCCAAATAATTTCCACCCCTTTGCGGACTCTCGTGCATTTATATACGAGTTAATAATATCTCTTGAATTATTTTAAATAAAATATAATATATTATTAGGATAATAATAATCATTTATACGAGACATTTTTTTTTAATTAATTTAAATTTGTTTAATCGCTCAGTGAGAAAAAGGGCCCAGGCGAAGAAGAAAAAATTAAAGAATCTTGGAAAGAGCAAAAGCACCGACACGGAGGAAGAAGACGCCGAGGATGACCAGGACGATGGTGAGTTGTATTTTTCCTATTTCTTAATTACCTCTCTCTTTCTCTTTCTCTTTCTCTTTCTCTCTCTCTTTTTTCAACGTCAAAAGTATTGTCTTCTTTCGACTATTTTTCAAACTAAGGCTATATATTAATCTATCATATTGTTCCTTATTATTACAATTGTTATAACTATTAATTATTTTTCTCTTCGGAGTGATATTCGAACGATAGGATGTTTCATTTATTATATATATATATATATACTGTATTATATTTTTTATATTATATGAAAAATGAATTTATTATCAGTAGATAAAGGATTTAAACGATTTTTAAGTAGTAAGAGCATGCGTTTCGTCCGACGATTTTTTGTTCATCATAAATAAAATCAGATTCTTCTCTCTCTCTCTCTCTCCAGCTTTTTTTTATAAACATGTAAAACAATGTACATAATATCGTGCATATGCAAAAAAGATATCGATCGAAAATAAAATATATCGTCGAAGTACGAAACGTTATCTCGTATTTTCTATCTTACTATTCTACATCCTTGAATTTCTATGAGCATTTTATTCACTTATTGGCACGTTTGCATATTTCATATTCACCGACATATTGTTGACACGTTATTAATGTATGTCTATATTTATTGCATCAAAAAGAACAATACTTCAACTTCCCATGAACTTGTCGATGAACATTCTAAACGTACGCTATCAGATGCTCCTCTTGTTTCAGTGCCTAAGAAAAAACTCAAAGGTAACTACAACTGTGTGAATGCCTCGACTTGTCGTAAAGAGCAACGTAATATCAAAGGCTGTATTTGTATATATATATACATACATAATATATATATTTAATATATATATATATATATATTTTATACGTCATTATTTATTTATTTGTATTTTCATTTTTATTAACGTAATATACTACACTTTTCTCTACGATTTCTTTCCTTTTTTTTTTTTTTTTTTTACGTAACAAACATAGTCAGTCATAAATACACATGCATACGAAACGTGCGTGCAGAAACGTATGAGCTAATCAAATAATATTTTTTTTCTTTTCAATAAAAATGATTGAATACATTGATCACCACGTGTGGGATGATCATCCATAAACCAATGTTCGTTATTTTGCATTGTATGTTTTATTTTAGAATTGTGGACTGTACAACAAAACATGTCAATCTTACTAGATAGTTGACTCAACGTGTGGGAATGATCAAATTACAATTCTTATTACAGGTACTCGTATCTGCACACACGTATCAAAGTGCATACATGATATACGTGTATACACATACACACGCGTACACGAATAGATAAATACACTCAGTAAATCACTAACTCACTCTCATGCACGTGCAAATACTCTATCCACACACACACACCAATCTAAATATACACGCATACATACACGCATACATACATAGATTCATTGACATAATTGCGTATAAGTATGTATGCTGGCGCGTAATCGACTGCTGCAGAGCATACTATTCAACATCTGGACGACAAGGCAATTGTCCAAGTAGATAGATTTCAGATACTCTAATTTTATACATATCGCTACAAGCCTCATGCTATGGAGTGTACAGAATAGCATGATAGTACAGTAATATTATTATCTTACATTATCATTGACGTATATTTATTTTTTATTTTTATTTTTGTTTCTTCTTTTTCTCTATTCCTTTTATTCTTATGCTAAGAAAATGATTAGAAAGTGAGAGCGTATTGATTTGTTTTTTTTTCGGTCAATACAAATAGATATACAATCGACAATATTATATACATATATATGCGTATATTCAATTGTCGCTGATTGTAATTAAATATCAAGCAAATGAATTCTCCCTGTTGCGTAGAAATTTTCTCATTAGCCTCGAGAAATCATGACAGATATATAATACATACATTCGGATCATTAGTTACGGCTAATTGATTTTACTTTCTAGGTAAATGCTTCTTCTATTGGCTGATGTAACGACACACGTTACATATATATATATGTATTATATTTTATTTATGAATTACGAAACACTCGCGAACAAATATCTATACACGATCGGTCTATTATTACAAAATCGTTTTAAATTATCTTTCACTTTGTCTTTCCTTCGTTTATTACACAATCGCTAGTGTTTCGTCTCGTTCACATGTTACAAATATCGTTTAGGTACGACCAGTGCAATGATGGGAGCACAAATTCATTTCATTCTCTTTCTACTTTAATTTTTTCTTTTTTTTTTATTCTTATAATAATCTTCCTTAACACGTTTTATTATTTTCTTTCTCTTTCGATTACAACTATCACTTATTAAATACTACAAACAAGCTAAAACTAAACTCCTGTAAACAGCAAATTTTCGTAGAAGTGTTAAACTTACATTAGTTAGTGTTGTCGGAGGAAAAGAGTTGTCATTATAAAGTAGAATATATTTATGCAAGATCCTAACCTAATAGATAATATACTCTGTTTGGCTCTATTAATTAGATAGCCTTTGGATACATTGAATATATTAGTAATTAATTAGTATCTTATACGCATTACTCTGACCCAATTATAGTGATTCCTGCTTTGTAGAGTATTTCGTTATTATTATTATTTTTATTAATGTTATTATTATTATTATTACTACTATGACTTTGATTATCTATTTGATTATTATTATTAATTTGATTATTACTATTATTGTTAGAATAGTTCTATATGTATTTATATCGTAAATAATAATTTAGTCAAGAAGAAAAAAAGATCTTTCCCCCAGTCGAGAAAATGTAAATTACATTTATTTATTAGGAGAAGATGGATATCTCGAAACGATCGATAAAGTCACTTCCTTCACTTTTATTTTTTTTAATCAAATATTAGCTCGTTAGCAGGCAGAGTATTAGAAATTAACGGGAAAGAGCAGCGGTTTGCATTAAATGATTATTATTATCGTTATTATTAATTTGGTTAATAATAATTAATTTAAACATTATTATTATTACTAAAAATCGATCCCTGTGCACGTTTTTCAGAATAATTTTATCTCAATCTTTATTCCGTAATACAATGTAAAAGTAGAGTTTCATATTCATGAATTAATCGTATTTCCTACATCAATGCGCATTGTCATTTTTTCGAAGAAATTGATTAGAAATTTTGTACATAATTATCTATCTATATTCTTAATTGATTTATACTTTGTAAATAGTTGAAATCGCAAATCGTAACAGGTGTATCCATCGCAAAGCAGAGAAAGATCTCACAATCGACTGGTTTTTTTTTTCTTTTTTAGAGAAACAAATACAACGTCGTATTTAATTTTCATTTCTATATTTCTCGCAGTAGGAAATAATAATAATTGAGTTAACTTATACTTTTATAGGGTTCTCGAGACCTTCCTATTTCAAGTCGAGGGTGAAAAACAAAGGAACGTGTATGCAATTTTGGCGAGCCGAGAAGAGGTTCCGATTCTGGATACGTAATTCCGTGAAATCGCAGAATTTCTATTGGTTCGTCATCGTCCTCGTGTTCTTTAACACCGTCTGCGTAGCCGTCGAGCATTACGATCAGCCACAGTGGCTTACCGATTTTCTCTGTAAGTATTCAATTTGTTAATTTGAACGTGTTAACTGGGAGGGGGGTGGGTGGTTAGGGGGTCTACTAGGAATAATAATAAGTATACACATAAGTGTCGGTAGATTTAATGTTGTTAACTAATTCGCGATCGCATTTGTTATTTCAGATTACGCGGAGTTTGTGTTCCTTGCCCTGTTCATGATGGAAATGTTCATAAAGGTATACGCGCTCGGTCCTCGCACATATTTCGAGTCGAGCTTCAATCGCTTCGACTGCGTCGTCATCTCGGGCTCGATCTTCGAGGTGATCTGGTCCGCGGTGAAGTCCGGCTCTTTCGGCCTCTCCGTCCTACGTGCCCTTAGACTCCTCAGAATTTTTAAGGTCACCAAATACTGGAAGAGCCTGCGGAACCTCGTAATATCGCTCCTCAGCTCGATGCGTAGTATCATTTCCCTTCTATTCCTGCTCTTCCTTTTCATCCTCATATTCGCGCTGCTCGGAATGCAGCTATTCGGTGGGCAATTCAACTTCGATTCCGGCACGCCACCCACAAACTTCAATACTTTTCCCATCGCGCTGCTTACTGTCTTCCAAGTAAGTTATATTCTTCTTTTTTATTTTTACTATAAAAATTCCAGTATAAAGGTTTACAGATTATATTACTGTGGGATAAGCGTCTCTATGACAAATATTAAAATAAGCATTCGTGGAAGGATTGGACGGTGGGCCCTGGATAGCTCAATGGATAAAGAGCAGAGTCCCGGTCCAGTCAGTCCAACAGGGCCAATTTTTTCACGAATCTTACATTATTATTACTGTTATAATATAAAAGAATGCGTCAATTACTGATATTTAAAAACTGTTTGCTTTCGTTGGACGCGCATATATGCGCCCGAAGTATTGATATCTAATGTTACACGAATTAATCGAATATTTATTCGAACAGATCCTTACCGGAGAAGACTGGAATGAGGTGATGTACTATGGTATCGAGTCACAAGGCGGTCACAGAAAAGGTATGATGTATTCGCTCTATTTCATCGTGTTGGTGCTATTCGGCAACTATACTCTGCTGAACGTCTTCTTGGCTATCGCCGTCGATAATTTGGCCAATGCCCAAGAATTGAGCGCCGCCGAGGAAGAGGAGCAGGAAGAAGACAAGGAGAAACAAATGCAGGAAATCGATAAGGAAATCGAGACATTGCAAAAACCAAACGATGGTACAGCATCTAAGACAGATATCTGTCCTCCTAGTCCAAATCAGAATTTGTAAGTTTAATTTGAATATCAACATACTAATAAGAATATAAGATATTATGATATAATGAATTAACATCCGTGGTGGGGGGGTTCTTGGGGATTTTTAGTAAAGACGGTAAAGGTGGAAAGCAGGCGTCCGAAGAGAAGAAGCAGGATGAAGACGATGACACGGGACCAAAACCAATGCTGCCATACTCCTCCATGTTTATACTATCCCCTACGAATCCGTGAGTATTGAAATGATAACAAACGGATACACCAAGTCCTCCCTCCCCGCATTACGATTTATGGGGGGGGACTCGAGGAGGACACCTCGGTGTACAACGAAAATATACATTTGTATTAATTTAGATTATTCGTTTGTTGCTTTGAATTAGCGTAAGAAGAGCCGCCCATTGGGTCGTCAATCTAAGGTACTTCGACTTCTTCATCATGGTGGTAATATCGTTGTCGAGTATCGCGTTGGCCGCCGAGGATCCTGTATGGGAACATTCGCCGAGGAACGAGATCCTCAACTATTTCGACTACGCGTTCACCGGTGTCTTCACCATAGAGATGATCCTAAAGATCATCGATCTTGGGGTCATATTACATCCTGGCTCGTATCTACGCGAGTTCTGGAACATTATGGACGCGGTGGTCGTAATATGCGCCGCGGTGTCGTTCGCATTCGACATGACCGGTAGTTCAGCGGGACAAAATTTATCGACGATCAAGTCGTTGAGGGTGTTACGTGTGTTGAGACCGCTTAAAACGATTAAAAGAGTACCAAAGCTCAAGGCGGTCTTCGACTGCGTCGTTAACAGTTTGAAAAATGTCATTAACATTCTCATAGTGTATATATTATTCCAATTCATCTTCGCTGTGATCGCGGTGCAACTGTTTAACGGAAAATTCTTTCACTGCAGCGACGAGAGCAAGTATACGAAAAAGGACTGCCAGTGAGTAGTAGTTTTACCGATAACATTTTCAATCTATAAAACAACAATCCCGATAATAACTAACAATCTTCCTCCTACTCCTCCCTCCTGCCTTCTTTTTAATTATCCAAGGATATTAAGTGTCTAAAGACACGGAAGAAGACGTATTTATTAACCTTAACGATGTAAATGTATATAATCTTACAATTATATTAAATAAAAACGCGTTGATCATTTCCACAGGGGTCAATACTTCGTCTACGAGGAAAATGTAATGCTGCCAGAACCCAAGAAAAGGGAGTGGACGTCTCAGTGTTTTCATTACGACAACGTTATGGCAGCTATGCTTACGTTGTTCGCTGTACAAACCGGCGAGGGATGGCCACAAATCTTGCAGCACTCAATGGCGGCCACTTACGAGGACCAGGGTCCCATTCAAAACTTTCGCATCGAAATGTCCATTTTCTATATCGTCTATTTCATCGTCTTTCCATTTTTCTTCGTCAACATCTTCGTGGCCTTGATTATCATCACGTTTCAAGAACAGGGAGAAGCCGAGCTTCAGGACGGCGAGATCGATAAAAATCAGGTATTGTTATAATTTTACATTGTTATTAGTATTAACGAAACTCATTTGAAATAAATTCATACAAACTGGTTATTAATGAATAATTATTTATTTGTTATTACAGAAATCATGTATAGACTTTACAATACAAGCTCGCCCATTAGAGAGGTACATGCCGAAGAAGCTGAACGGCGTAAAGTACAAAATTTGGAGGATAGTCGTATCGACACCGTTCGAATATTTTATCATGATACTCATCGTACTAAATACATTACTACTAATGATGAAGGTAAGTTCTTACGAGCCGTATCTATATTTCCCCCCACCCCCCGTTGCATTTGATTCTCTCGACGAGGAAGCAAAAGAGAGAAGATCGATGTGGTCTCTCTTTGCTCCAAATACCTCAGCCACCCCCCCCCCCCACTTTACCCTCTCTGATCCAGCCCCTATTAACAATAATATTTTATCTACGAGCAATAACCAAAGTCAAGAATTAAATGAAAAAAAGGTTTATGAATATAAATATGAGAAAAAAGACAACGCCAGTTCACTCCCCCTTTTACACCTGCCCCCCCCCCACTCACACCTGTGAATCTTCCTCGTTCGTATGTTGTGTGCTCATATAAATATTTATACACATTTTATTATATATATATATTTTCTCGATCCTCTTCTCGGAATTATCCGTTCCTCGTAGCATTTTAAAACATGTTGATCATTTTTAATTAATCGACAATAGAAATCTATATTAATGTTTCTCTAATCATTTCTTTTTTTTTTTTTTTCATCTACCACGAATATATCACCGTGTAATATTTAAATAATTTGAATGACAATATCATGTAATCGAGACGAAAAACGTACGTAAATATTGCTACGAGTATATGTTATAATTTACAACATAATATTATGATATATTATTTGTGAAATAATGACATTACATTTTTCTACGAGGACATTGTTGTTCTTGCTTGCAAATTTTCTGACTGTTTTTCTGTATAATTGTCATATCCATGTACTTTACCAAATTGCGTGTTACACAGCTGTGTCGAATTTTCTTACTTCCTACGAATTATTTTCTTCTTTCATTCTGTATTTCTAACTATCTTTCTATCTTTCTCTCTTTCTCTTTCATCCAATTTCCCCAATCAAAATTAATGCAATCGTTTCTTTCCCATTACATTCAAACTTTCTAATGGTTTAATACTTCACACATTATTTTCTTCATTAATTTCCCCATTCGCGCGTTTTACGATCATCGTTCTTTATTGTTGAATTAACGTGACAATAAAGTTTCTTCTTTCATTCTCATTTTCTCTCTCTCTCTCTCTCTCTCTCTGTTTCTCTCTTTCTCTTTCTCTTTCTCTTTCTCTTTCTCTCTTTAAGTTCTTCCTGTTTTTCTCATATCCTAGCCTCCTCGACAAATTGCATGGCTGGTGGCTGTAAATTTGTTTCATAGTAGACATACTCCAACGACGTGTGAGAAGAAACTTTGAACAACGCTGTGTTCCTTCTTATCCAAAACTCACCACATATACTTTTATTTATATTATACTAATTGAAATTATTTATATACATACACCTAAATGTGTGCGTTCGACATTATTTTTATTTTTACGCTTTGATGATGATACGCCCACGTTTTAACTGGTGTGGCGAAACGAAAAAAAAAAAAGCGTTGCACAAAACGAGCTGCTTATTTTCTGATCGAATGAAAAGTTTTTTCTTTACAAAGAAAATACTTGATAAAAGAAAGACAAAAAAAAGAATAATAATAATAAAAAAAAAAAAAAAACTGGCAAAATATAGAAGAAGAGCCCTGCACGCCAGTCCACCTTTTGTGTAGAATGCACACTTATTATTTATATTTCTTGACTATCACACGCTTCTAGTTTCTCAATACTAAACACTAATTTTCTATTTCTTCACCGTCCTCCCCCTCCTCTTCTTCCTCCACGTCCTCGTCCTCTTTCTAATTATCTATTCATCTTTCTATTTATCTACCTATATATATATATATAGAATATATATATATAGGTAGATATAATAATATATATATATATATATCTCTTTCCTTTTTAAATGACTGATCGGAGATCGGAAAATACGAGGGGGAAAAATCCTATGTACGAGAGATTCCCGTTTTTCTTTTCAATTTCATAGAATCAGAAAATCCGACACACATATTATACGAGTCTTAAAATAATCTCGAAAAATAATTTTCTCTTTCCACCCACGTATTTCTCTCTATCTCGTCCAATGATTATACACACACGTATATATACACATACATTTATTTATATACCCAACTATCTTTCTATTTATCCACCTATCCGTGTATTTATCTCTTTTCCTTTCTATCTATACATCCATCCATCTATCCATCTATATATATATTGTATATATATTTATCTACATTTCCAAGTTCCCTTATTTCACTCGTATAAATTTGTGACTCCGATCGCACGTATGATCAGCCTTCGCTTTGTGAACAAGCAAAAACCGATGAAAGATCACCGTTATACAATACAATATTTTGTGATACATATGTTGTCGATTAAAAAAAAAATAGATAATATATCTGACACGCACACTAACACGCTATCGTGTCGAATTTTGTTGCCTGGAAATATCATTATTATTATTATTATTATTATTGAAAAAAGCAAGGAATGTATTATTATTATTATTATTATTATTACGGAATCCACTTTTGCACACGCACTTGCAACAAATTTTTTGTCTGTGAGAACAAATGGCACGTTACACGATTTACCCCTTATATTTTGTTCTTTTTTTTTTTAATTTTAATTATTCTCGTGCATATGTAAATGAACAAAGAGATACGATAAATCTGAAAAATAAAAAAGAGAAAAGAAATTTAAATGAATTATTCTATAATAAAAAATTCTATACATTTACATATATATACATGTACACTTGGATCAGTAATTATGGAAATTGATTAACAATGAGTTAAATGAAATGGAATTAATGATTTTAGGTAAATCATTAATTGATTTTAGGTAAATCATTTTTTAGAATCATGGAATTAATTGAAAAAACTTTTTTCTTTTTTTAGCTTGGTCGTGTAATATTACCTGACACGTAAAAAATATATTAAATTTATTCGATAATAATTGATTTTGAAAAAAAATAATCAATCGTATTATTAATCTCTCAATTCATTGTTGAAATGCACGAAGAATGATTGACTCTTAACGTACTTCTACATTTCACTATTGAAAATCCTCACTTATATATATATATTTTCTCGATCCTCTTCTCGGAATTATCCGTTCCTCGTAGCATTTTAAAACATGTTGATCATTTTTAATTAATCGACAATAGAAATCTATATTAATGTTTCTCTAATCATTTNAGAGAGAGAGAGAGAGAGAGAGAGAAAGGTAGATAGAAAGAAAGAAAGATTAGACGAAGAAAGAATGAAAAAAAATTAGAAACAGAGAGAGAGAGAGGGCAAAGGATCGACTTCCTCACAAGCTCGAAGATCACACGTACGATCGCGCCTACCGATATATGATGATCGATTTATTTTATAAATAATTATATAAATTGAGCCCAAGTTCATCTTTTTTCTTTTGTTTTTTCTTTTTTTTCTATTTACCATACTCTTGCATATCGATACGCACGACGCATCCTGTCTCGTTTATTATCTGATTGCATGTGGGACGATTTTATGTGACACACGACTTGTTTTTGAATATCGAATCAATCGATCGTGGAACAAACAACACTGTCTACACCTTGTCGAATATTAAAACTGAGAAGGATTGTATGGTACACGTATACAATGGAGTCATTTGAGTATTCGTAATAGTTATTATTCATTTGAAATAATCAATATTTTCTTGTAATACTATATTAAGCTTAATATACATAGAAATATGTTTTATATAGGATTATAAATGAAGTTAAAATTTGATACAACCGATAAAAAGATTCATCTCCTAAGAGTATTTTTACATCTAGATAAAATACAATAAAAATATAATTATTATTTATTTTTAAGTAATCATCTTTTTTCTATGTTTAAATTATTTTTAAACGATTGAGCATATCTCTCGCGAGATTAATTTTTTTGTTTTCATGTATGTAAAATAATATATATCTGTAATAATATAAAATGTTCTGCAATCAAATTTATATATTAATTTGAATATTTATTCATCCCAAAATAGATTTGCGTGTATAGAAACTTTGGTGCTTTGCATTACAAACAAATATGAATTATTTCAAATTTACTGTATACACGGATACTAATACTTCTGTGACTCCGCTGTATGTATGTGTCGGTAATTACAGCATTCGACAAAGTCAAACAATTGCAAACAATTGTTTTATGGACTCAACAGTGGACTCTATTATTTGTTTTTTAATTATCGACACATATGCTTATGTATGCATGTTGTATAATAAATAAAATATAACGATCGTCAATCCTACATATTACACATGAATTTCTTTATGGTTTTACTGGGTGTACTACGAATTTCTCAGTGGGATTATTACATAGAGTATTGTGCATGTCGATAGTGTACCACGATAATTATATCAGTACTATGCTGATTTATGTGAAAAATATAATTTTAAAATGTACATCAATTAAATTAACAAAAAAAGACAAAAATTTATAAAACGAAAAGAAAGAGAAAGAGAGAGAGAGAGAGAGAGAAAGAGAGAAAAAGAGTGTGAGAGAGAGAGAGAGAGAGGGTAAAAAATATTAAATATAATTTGTCAGATAATTTTTAACTAACGAGTACTTGAGAGAGATAGAGAGATATAACTCAGGTTTTTTTATGCGACGAAAATTATGTCTACTTGAAAAAATAAATGTCATGAGTCCGACGACGTTGATATAAAATATGATGACAGATTTTTATAGAAAAATCAACTAAATGTATGGAAAATTACCGAGATGCGAAGACAATTTTCTGACACTTTCCTTGTCTAAGAAAAACTATTTGATAGTAACCAACGAGAAACGTTGTCAAAACGTTTTCAACATGAAATCAAGAAATAGAGAGATGACGAAAGACGAAAAAGAAAAGATAATAAAAATAGGAGAATAGAAAGAAGAAGTAGTAGAAGAAGAAGAAGAAGAAGAAAACAGAAAAAACTTAAACGACAAAATTCCGAAGATTTCTGCTTAGGCGAAATTTAAAAAAGTAAAATACTCTTGTGAAAAAGAAAATATAAATAAATAAAGAATATTATACACGATCGAATGTACAATAACGATTGACGGAATAATTGAACGAGGAAGGGGGGGTTTGTTTGACGAAGGATCATTTAACGAGAAATTTCTGTCCTCAGATTTTAAATGTGCATTCTCATTTAGATAAGTATAAAAATAAAATTAGATAGAGACAGACTAAGATAATGAGAGTGAGACAGACAGACAGACAGACAGATAGACAAATAGACAGATAGACAGTAAGACAGACAGACAGACAGACAGATAGAAAAAGAGAAAGATTAAAATAATAATAATAAAAAAAAAACAAATAAATAAAAAAATAAAATTATTAAGATAAAAAAGGAAGTTGAGAGAGTTATACGTGCCAAGGACGCCCCGTGCAAAGAAAATGGTGTTAGTTTTGATCGATATTTAATTGAAACATACATTCAGTTATCATCATCCCCCATTGTGATTGAGTGTGAATTGAAAATCGGTTCGAAGAACACGATCGTTCGACATTGCCAATAGCCATAACATGCTAACGCTCTATTTTTCTCTCTTTTGCGCGTACGTGTTCGTTTGTTTGCGTGTTTGTGCACGTGTATGTACGTATATATATATATATATATATATATATATACGTACATACACGTGCACAAACACGCAAACAAACGAACACGTACGCGCAAAAGAGAGAAAAATAGAGCGTTAGCATGTTATGGCTATTGGCAATGTCGAACGATCGTGTTCTTCGAACCGATTTTCAATTCACACTCAATCACAATGGGGGATGATGATAACTGAATGTATGTTTCAATTAAATATCGATCAAAACTAACACCATTTTCTTTGCACGGGGCGTCCTTGGCACGTATAACTCTCTCAACTTCCTTTTTTATCTTAATAATTTTATTTTTTTATTTATTTGTTTTTTTTTTATTATTATTATTTTAATCTTTCTCTTTTTCTATCTGTCTGTCTGTCTGTCTGTCTTACTGTCTATCTGTCTATTTGTCTATCTGTCTGTCTGTCTGTCTGTCTCACTCTCATTATCTTAGTCTGTCTCTATCTAATTTTATTTTTATACTTATCTAAATGAGAATGCACATTTAAAATCTGAGGACAGAAATTTCTCGTTAAATGATCCTTCGTCAAACAAACCCCCCCTTCCTCGTTCAATTATTCCGTCAATCGTTATTGTACATTCGATCGTGTATAATATTCTTTATTTATTTATATTTTCTTTTTCACAAGAGTATTTTACTTTTTTAAATTTCGCCTAAGCAGAAATCTTCGGAATTTTGTCGTTTAAGTTTTTTCTGTTTTCTTCTTCTTCTTCTTCTTCTACTACTTCTTCTTTCTATTCTCCTATTTTTATTATCTTTTCTTTTTCGTCTTTCGTCATCTCTCTATTTCTTGATTTCATGTTGAAAACGTTTTGACAACGTTTCTCGTTGGTTACTATCAAATAGTTTTTCTTAGACAAGGAAAGTGTCAGAAAATTGTCTTCGCATCTCGGTAATTTTCCATACATTTAGTTGATTTTTCTATAAAAATCTGTCATCATATTTTATATCAACGTCGTCGGACTCATGACATTTATTTTTTCAAGTAGACATAATTTTCGTCGCATAAAAAAACCTGAGTTATATCTCTCTATCTCTCTCAAGTACTCGTTAGTTAAAAATTATCTGACAAATTATATTTAATATTTTTTACCCTCTCTCTCTCTCTCTCTCACACTCTTTTTCTCTCTTTCTCTCTCTCTCTCTCTCTCTTTCTCTTTCTTTTCGTTTTATAAATTTTTGTCTTTTTTTGTTAATTTAATTGATGTACATTTTAAAATTATATTTTTCACATAAATCAGCATAGTACTGATATAATTATCGTGGTACACTATCGACATGCACAATACTCTATGTAATAATCCCACTGAGAAATTCGTAGTACACCCAGTAAAACCATAAAGAAATTCATGTGTAATATGTAGGATTGACGATCGTTATATTTTATTTATTATACAACATGCATACATAAGCATATGTGTCGATAATTAAAAAACAAATAATAGAGTCCACTGTTGAGTCCATAAAACAATTGTTTGCAATTGTTTGACTTTGTCGAATGCTGTAATTACCGACACATACATACAGCGGAGTCACAGAAGTATTAGTATCCGTGTATACAGTAAATTTGAAATAATTCATATTTGTTTGTAATGCAAAGCACCAAAGTTTCTATACACGCAAATCTATTTTGGGATGAATAAATATTCAAATTAATATATAAATTTGATTGCAGAACATTTTATATTATTACAGATATATATTATTTTACATACATGAAAACAAAAAAATTAATCTCGCGAGAGATATGCTCAATCGTTTAAAAATAATTTAAACATAGAAAAAAGATGATTACTTAAAAATAAATAATAATTATATTTTTATTGTATTTTATCTAGATGTAAAAATACTCTTAGGAGATGAATCTTTTTATCGGTTGTATCAAATTTTAACTTCATTTATAATCCTATATAAAACATATTTCTATGTATATTAAGCTTAATATAGTATTACAAGAAAATATTGATTATTTCAAATGAATAATAACTATTACGAATACTCAAATGACTCCATTGTATACGTGTACCATACAATCCTTCTCAGTTTTAATATTCGACAAGGTGTAGACAGTGTTGTTTGTTCCACGATCGATTGATTCGATATTCAAAAACAAGTCGTGTGTCACATAAAATCGTCCCACATGCAATCAGATAATAAACGAGACAGGATGCGTCGTGCGTATCGATATGCAAGAGTATGGTAAATAGAAAAAAAAGAAAAAACAAAAGAAAAAAGATGAACTTGGGCTCAATTTATATAATTATTTATAAAATAAATCGATCATCATATATCGGTAGGCGCGATCGTACGTGTGATCTTCGAGCTTGTGAGGAAGTCGATCCTTTGCCCTCTCTCTCTCTCTGTTTCTAATTTTTTTTCATTCTTTCTTCGTCTAATCTTTCTTTCTTTCTATCTACCTTTCTCTCTCTCTCTCTCTCTCTCTCTCTTTCTCTCTCTCTCTCTCGGAGAGGATCAAAGGAGTGACGTCCTCGTAATTTAAACGCGAAACTTTCAAGGCTTTGTGCGTCTCTGTTTGTCTCTGTCGGCCGTGTGTTTGTCAGTGTATGCATTACAGTTCCATCGGCAAAGCGAGGCGTACAAGAACACGCTGAAGTACATGAACATGTGCTTCACGGGGATGTTCACCGTCGAGTGCATACTGAAGATCGCCGCTTTTGGCGTCAGGGTAAGCTCCATAATGACAACAACAACAACCAAAAATATAACAATCAACAATTTATTTTTGTTCTCTTTATCCATATTTATATTTCTATTAACACTATGACGTCCCACACGTCTAATCGGGATTATTATTTTGTTTGAGTCACATCAGATCATTTCGCTTGTCGACCGGTGTGGTTTTTGGTTTAAATTAATATTTTATTTTTTTTTATGTTACACCACGCGTGTAATTTGATTATTTATATTCGTTTGGGAAGTAATTTTCTCGCTATTTTCGTATATCTATGTTGACTTTTATTTTTATACGGTCTCTGACGTCACCGCAATGGTTGTCATCAGCGCTTGACCAATTGTTTAGCGCCATTTGCCCTGATAGTTTGGAGAATGGCAGCAACGTGGCGCTACTGGCATTTGCCCGATAGTTTTCGCATGCCCCAATATGGGGCCACCGGACGGCATAGTGTTAATATATATATCTTTAATTATTCAAATCGGTTATCAATTATTCGTAATCCGATTGAGAACAATTCTATCGAAAGTTACGGTTATTTTAATCATTTTTTGTTTTTTTTTTTTTTTTCATAGAAAACTTTTAATTTTTGTTACCAAATTTTTAATAAAAATATAAAGTTAGACGATAAGAAAGATTTCTTATAACGGGCGTTCGCGAACGATGAATTTATGACGGTTTTATGTGTGTGTGTGAACGAGCAAGATAAAAGATATTCTTTTAACAATTAATTCACTGATTATTTTCAAAATTACGTTTAAAGTTTCGTCATAAATATCATTTTTCGTACGCGCTTGTAATAAATTGTTGCTTATTAGAAGGAAAACAAAAAAAAAACAAATTAAAGCAATTTCTTGTCGTTATTATTTCTATGATTAATTATTATTATTATTGCAATTAATTTTATTAGATAGTATTATAAGGAATATATATATATGATAAAGTTTATATACATATATTAATTCATCTCGATGTATCGCGAGATATAAATCGTACGAGATTATTTCGATTATTTAAATTCGTCGAGTTAGAAAAAACGAATTTATTATTATCTATTATTATGGATCTATTTTTTTTTTATCTCGTAGATATTAAACTTCAGTAAAATAACGTGAATACACGAAGATTACGAAAGAAGAAAATGAATAATGTCTCAGTACTCGCGTAATTAATTCTTTTTCAACGGTACGGTTGATACACACACACACACACACACACATACACAAAAACATACACGCACATCAAACATAAATACATATATATATACACATTATTATATACAGGCACACAATAACTTTGCAGCACCCACACGCGACATTTAAAAAAAAACATTCCGAAGTATTACTTTTACATCTAATTACTTTCCGTTCGTATGAATTTTCCCGCCTTTTTTTC